CCTGGGAAGTATACCCTTAAGAAACAAAAAAATCCAAATCAGTTCAGGGGTCTTCGAGTAATCGGTGAACATACATAAACCTCCTCCTTTTTGGAAGTCGGTTAATGACAAAAATAATAAATATTATTTCGTTACTCACCTCTTTATTAGAAATGGTTATTGCCGTCACTGTACTTGTAAACATCGTCCAAATTAAGAAGAGAATCTACAAATTATATACATCTCAAAATTAATACATATACCTATGTAGGTGTTTCGACCCGACAACGGCGAAGCCCAAAGAAGGGTTATGTTTTTACCATTGAATACATTGATTTGAAATAAAATTGAAGAAAGTTATTATAGAAAAAAAAACAACATTATAAATTATAAAATTATTTAGTAAATAATTTTAATTTTATAATTTAATAACTGTCTAAAAGAAATAAAACACAGGAATTAATCTCGTATTTCAAGCAGGAGATATTTTGTTAATTAGAATGTAAGGATAATAGGGCTGCACTCACCTCCACTCCATGGCATTTTTCTAAAAGCAGAATACATGTACAAAGACTATCATATATTTTACAGTATATTTTTAAATTAAACTTTTGTTGTTTCGGTTCTGTATCAATAAAATAAATATTTGGATCAATAAAATAAAGTAGATTGTTTTTCGGCAATTGATTAGTTTGTAAGAAGATGCTGATACCGTCTTTGGTATTGGATTTCAACATTGCCAGCATATCGTAATTTATAAACCTCAAAATTGATAGCATCATGCATAGATGCACTATCAAATGAAATATTGCTAAAAATAGTGGTATTCTTATAAGAATTATAAAAGGTGGATCATCGAAACATATTTCCAATGCTATTGAAATCATAAAAATAATTCCATTCACTGATACCAAGATGTAAAGTTTATGACAAATCATTTTTTGGCTTTTGTTACTTAATTTCATTTCGCCAAATATATTTAAAAATGTATTGTAAAGCTTTCTGTATGCATCTTCTTTACAAATGTTGTTCAATATGATGATAATATTTACAATAAGATTGTTAATATTCGAAAGTTGGTCCATGTGAGTCTTGACGTAAAATTCTATTTTAAAGTTTACAGCAAATAAGTGTGTTATTAGAGCACATAAAGCTATTAAAATTGACCAAAGCTTGCTCCATAAAGGTATACTTGGATGTTTTTGGGAAACAACGAAAGGTTTTCTCATTCCAAAAAAACTAGATAATCGATTGAAAGTACGAAAATAAAAATAAAACATGTTTGACGTTTGTTTCATGTATAACGATATAAAAGAATGACTCCAATATTATATGACCCAATTAGAAAAATTGAATGAAAATTACATGGTAACCAATAATTACAATGAACAATGTATTATTATATTGATAAAAATTAACAAGAATGTCCACTTATTACTTTAACGATGTGCCTAGAATGTTAACGTAAAATCTAAATTGACATAGAACGGTACATACAGTAATTTATAATGAACACAAACACCATACATTTTAATCGACTTGAAAACACAAATTAAAAATAAATAGTTAATAGAGATAATCATCAAATGAAAAATATTTTTTCTTTATACGATTATAAAAATTGAACAGAATGTACCTTAACATTGAAAAATGTCATCATATTAAGTTTACGCGTAAGAAGAAAATTACACCGTCTAAATATTACATTGACCAACATGAATTAACTGAATTAATACAAATACGAGATCTGGGTGTGATTATGGATAGTCGCATTACTTTTGGTCCTCATATTGACCATTGTCTCGATTTGGCCAATAAGTCTCTTGGTTTTATTATGAGGTCCTCAAAAACCTTTAAGAATCCAATAACAACTTTAAAGTTATTCAATAGTCTTGTTCGCAGTCGACTTGAATACTGTTCTCTCATATGGTCACCTTACAAGAAAAGCCACACCACTAGACTGGAATCTGTGCAAAAGCGTTTGTTGCGGCAACTATCATATAGATATAAAATAAAATAGCTATGATGAAAGACTTAAACATTTTAATATTAATAGTCTTAAAAATAGGAGAGAAATGTTAGCAATGACTTTTCTCTATAAAGTCCTAAATAATGAAGTTGACTGTTCCGATATTTTTAATAAATTTGCATTCCACGTCCCACCTAAAATACCCCGACATCCGTGCAACTTGTTAGAAGTAGGTGTCTACAGAACTCACTTGGGAAAGAATTCCCCTGTGCCAAGAATGTCGAGATTATACAATAATATCACAAAAAAAATCTTAAGCGTAGACATATGCCATGACAGACTACCTCAATTTAAGCGCAAAGTTATCGAATATTTATCAGAATTGTAACCCTTCGACTTATCGCCAATCGTTACTACGATAAATTATGATATATTTTTTTTTATTACTTTGTTTTGTGCGTTGCTATTAATTCTAATCCTAAATTGAATTTACTTGTTTTATTGGACTAACTTTTTAAATATTATTAACTTATTTATTCTAATTATATTATGTCTAATTAAGTAATTTTTTATATTTAAATTATCATGTATTCATTTTATAATTTAATTTTCAACTTTATTCATTAACGTATTATTATGATTTAATTTTAAATTTCCATTTTATAATTAAATGTTATTGACGTGATTTAAAGAAAAAGAGCATGCTGTGATAACCTATTACTAAAAGAACATTAATGAAATTGTTAACACATGAATATTATGCCGCTTTTAATGTATCTTTTGTTGGTTGTCCTTTAATAAATAAATAAATAAATAAATAACTTGGAATTACGTTATCATTAAGACATAAATAATTTTTGCTTGCGACCCTCGACACCATGACTGAAACGTATTTGTGGCTCCTATAAAAAAAAGGTTGAGTATGGCTGCTCTAGACTATAGAGTTGTATAGTCTAATCATTTTATAAATTTGTCTACTTAAAAAAAAATTGGCCTATTTAATTATGGCAAACAATTTGAAAGTTTAAACTTTTAATGGACAACTGCGTAATCTATATATATAAAAGAAAGTCGTGTTAGTTACACTATTTATAACTCCAGAACGGCTGAACCGATTTGGCTGAAAATTGGCAGGGAGGTAGCTTAGAACCCAGAGACGGACATAGGATACTTTTTATCCCGTTCGAATGCGTTCCCGTGTGATATTGTTTGTCTGTTTGTCTGTTTGTACGGCCTAATCTCCGAATCTATTGGACCGATTTAAATGAAATTTTGCATGGTGGTACCTTATATCCCCGGACAACGTCTTAGATATTTTTTTTCCCGGAAAATATAATGGTTCCCGTGGTATAGTTAAAAAACTATTATAACTTATACAACTTATGCACCTAATTTAGTAAAATTTAACATTCTGATACCTTATATTACCGGTCAAACAACCGGTTACTTTTCATCCGGGAAAAATGAACGGTTCCCGTGGGAACTAATAGATTTTTATTAGTGTTTTTCTAGAGGCGAACCCAAACGAAGCGAGGGTGAGCCGCTAGTTGAAAATAAAGTAAAAAAAGGAAACATTAATAATAATATTACTATTTTATTATTACACTAGTGGCTCACCCTCGCTTCGCTCGGGTTCGCCTCTAGAAAAGCACAAACAGATCTATCCCACGGGAACCGTTCATTTTTAATTTTTAATATAAGGTATTAGCATGCCAAATTTTGCTAAATTAGGCGCATAAGTTGTTGTGTACTAAGCTGTATAAGTTACTATAGTTTTTTAACTATTTCACGGGAACTCTTTAATTTTCTAGAATGAAAAGTATCTTAGATGTTGACCAGGCATATAAGGTACCACCATGCAAAATTTTATTTAAATCTGTTCAATAGTTTCGGAGACTAGCCCGTACAAACAGACAGAGAAACAAAAAAAATGAAAAAAAAAACCTGGACTTGTTCTATTTGTCTTCTTACATCCCCCTGACTCGGTTTTTAGCATTTTATTCTATGTACAGACATTCGACCTCTACAGTTTTATTATAGTAGGTATAGATATTACAAGTGACACTTTGATTTGTTTATTACAGTTGTAAATTAAATAAGGGAAGTATAAAATAATAAAGGTAAGTAAGGAGTAGGTGCGTTTATTTTGAAAATAAGAATAGAATGTAGTCGTGTTAAAGTATTACTGTTATTAATTGTGTATGAAATCATGCTTTGTCGAAAAAAAAACAGACTATAGAATGTTTAAGGTGAATCGAAATTCTATACTTCTTTTGAAACAGATTTACATATAAAGGTTGAGGTGAAATTTCTAGTTACATTATCTGAAATATATGAGTCCCACTTATAGAGTTTTAGCTGGTATATGAGTAATATCAAATAATAGAATATTCTAATTCCCGATATTTAATAACGATTACACATGACACCGCCATTGGAAAATTTAAGATATGATTTCAGCGATACGCGTACAGGCAAAATTACAAACAACGTTTAAAACGTCAATAATATTACCTCAATGTGATTATTCGAATAAAAATCGTAATTTTCCGAATATATATCCGCAGTACTTTTTTATCTCTATTTTCATTCAGAGACTTTTACCCTTTTAGGACATATCAGTCCTATAAGCAGTACTTTTGGAGAATGTGATGTAATGTAATAAAAAACTCATGGTGTCATAGACGTCGTTGTTCGATAAAAAACAAATTGCTTTAATTTGGTACTCCGGGAAAATATCTACACAGCAGAAGACGCTCCTGCATTTGTGTTCGAAATAACCAAATACCTGCGCCTAGAATTTTTTGTATACCTAAGTATTATGTATAGTTAAATATTTTTAAATATTAATTTTTTTGTGTAATTGCTAATTTTATATAATATAGATACAAAACGACTTATCTTATCAATTCTTGGATTTATAGCGATATAAACTTGACTAACGCTAGTGAAAGATAAATTGATTCGTAAGTCCTTTAAAAATGCAGCAGTGTATTTGAAATTATAGTGATTACTGTCGTTTATTTTCATCTTCAGTTTGCAGGTTTTACCAATGGCATACAGTAAGTACAATTTATTAATATAAATTTCGTTATAAACATCATTCTATTGGAATTTTTGTACGTATCTTATCGTAAGTTAGTTTTTCTATTCTTCACTAAGTATAATTACCTTCAACCTACTAAATGGACATGAACTAATAGAATTACTATGATACCTCAGTAATAATTTTATAGAAAGTGGATTTTTCATAGATTAATATCGAAACTGTGTAAATATAAATATTAAAAAATTCTAGATCCTCCACCGAATGGGCCACCGCCATATTATGGTTACCCACCACCACCCAGTGTTGCTCCGGGATCTTTCGCTTATATACCAGCGCCTGCATTAGTCCCTCCTCAGGGGCCCCCACAAACATTTGTAACCAACTTTATTTATCCGCCGCAGCCAACGCCCACACCAGTACAAGTTGTAGAAAGTAAGTGTTCTATTATTAATATTATTATATCTAAATTATATTTCACGGACTCAAAAGAGCCTGGCCTTTTGAAAAACTTGTGTGCTTTACCGTATCATGGATTCGTTTCTGTGTAATCCATACTGTTTTACAATCGTCTCACTCTAAATGATTAGCGAATGATGACTTGCTTCCCACTAGATGTGCCCCCGCAAATTGGCGTGTTGCAAGAGGCTTGCACTGGTTTTACCATATCAATAAGATTGATTACCTACTCAGATTGAGCAACTCCACCATTTCAACATCTTAGCTTTTATTCTGCACTCTGCAGAGCCGATATACCTACAGGCTCCATATGTATGGTAGTGACGCGGGTCACATATTATTGACCCTAGAAAATTTGAGAGCCATATTTACTATGTTTACCAACAGCTCTCTAAAGCGGATGGGCTTATATTGCAAGCTGTTTTATTGTAATGAGATTATTATTTACAAACCATATGTAAGTATATTATATTATGAATGTGAAAGTAGCTATGTCTGTCTGTCTGATTATCTGTCCTATATCGATCCATTTGTAAAAGATGTTGATTCTGCACCTGGCTTCTATCCAGTGGATTCGCATTTTTGCCGCACTCGACAAAGAAAGTGTACACTTTAGCAATATAATGGCTTACCTTAGTGATATTTCCCGCCGTAATCGAAAATAGAATTAGGATTAATAAATTAAAATTTTCCAATATAAAGCCTGAAGATATTTTATTATTATTTTGCAGATGCCGAACCCCCTGTAATGGGAGAACTTATCGATTGGGTACCATCAACTCCAGCAACTGCTCAATCACTCTACGGTAGAGCGTTAGAAGCTGGTAGGGAAGGTTGGGATAGTAGTCCTTTATGGATTATTAGAGCCTACCACAAAGGTGACTTAGTGCCAGGCAAACTCGCTATTAAGCATCGAGCCGCTTTCATACCATTTTCTAGAAGAGAACTTCCAGTGCATAATTTTGAGGTATTTACATTAATTGCAATTTATTATTAAGATACTCTATTACTATAGGCTTACGTTTATTATTTGTTTTTTTATATTTCATAACCGTAATTTCAACTGAAATACCTAGATAAAAACTCAACCTTTAAACAAGACAAATATTTAGTGTAGTCAAAAGTGCCAATTATACGGAAAAAGTTAAAATATCAATATTTTATTTATTTCATGCACTATTTTGATTTAATTTAAAATTAAGTCAATTTTAATTTTCTCCAACACATTTGCGTTAAAACAAATTAACTTTAGCATTAGAGCAAAGCTTAATAAACGTAGTTACTACAAATGCTTTAACAATATATATTTTTGACACATCAAGGTGCTATGTGCTCCAAGTAACATGGTGCAATGGATATCTGCTAATAATGGTGAAGTGCCGCCCAGTGCCATCATCGCAGGAAACACACACACTGCCGAGCCACTTTACATCGGCCGAGTGTATCACAAGGGTTCTATCACCCCTGGGAAGGTAAACAATTAAATTACTTTTACTCAGGTGCCTTGTATTCGTTTCTTAATTTAGCATTTCAAACATGTTTAAATAATTGGTTATTTTTAGCTTAACTTCATTCCACTTTTGTAAAATTATAACGAAATCGGTAATCCAGCAAAAGGTCAAATCGGTAATTCAGGTGCGAATATTTTATAATTTATTTCTGATATGAATGAACAATGTTACAGGTTCACCCCAGCCACGGATGCTGCTACGTTTCCTATGGCGGAACAGAAGTGCAATACAAACAGTACGAGGTGCTAGCCAGACGTGATAACTGGTAAACGAAGCGAAGATGAAAAAACTATGTATGATTTACACTTTAAGTTCTTCTTAAGATGTTAAAATGGATATTTACCATGTTTGTCACTTACTACATTACTGTACCGTAGAACTGTTCTTCACTTACTTTTATGAGTTACTTTTATGAGTTGTGTGTCATGGGTATACTGAGTGTGCGTGACCATGGCGAATAGTGCCGAAATACCGTAACAAATTTTCAGTTTATAGTATTAGCATACATTTACTTTTCTTTCTATTCGTAGAAAGCAGGTAGGAACCTTTTAAATAATGTTTATGTTAAGTAAAAGTTTTTTTGAAATTCTTTATTCTGAAAACATAGCTGATAGAAATTAATAGATTCTTATTTAAAGTTAACTGAAATAATGTCATTATTTCTTTTTTATAATAATGGTAAATTCCGAAAATGTATCATGCCTAATCGTAATGGAACATATAATGGATGTCCAATATTACTATTATAAAATATATACTATCTACTACTACTACTACTGGCTGGGGCTGCATCTACTGTAGTAGGGGGATGGTGTAAAACGTTTACATCGCTACCGCCACCGTCGTCACTGCAGCCAAAGCAGGCCCCACCCTGACAGCATGGGCTGCAGCAGCATAACGCAAATGGATTGCAAGCACAGCTACAGCAAATCCCCATCGTTCTGACGACAATACTGTATATTTTTGATTAATTAAAAATATTATTCACTTTATATACATAGATGTTGAGCATTAAGCTTTAATCATGCTGAGTTACTTTTCACAATTACTATGTATGCAATACTAATGCAAATAACTCTAGATATGTTTAATTTTAATTATATTTTTAATTTGAGAACTATTTATTATTATATATTTTTATATTATAAATACAAAATTTTGTGTATTTGTTATTTATTTACGTTTTCCTACAACGGATTCCAGTGAATTTCGAAGTGGGATTATTTTATATAGAAATATTTTATTCTGGATTATAAATTCCTACGTTACTTTTTATGTATGTACTGTAAGTACATATTGATGACTTATTTATGACTTAAACTTAAAATATAAACTACTTACCTACACTTAAAAGTCACTCTTGACATAAAAAAGGCACTGTGCTTCTGATAGGTATTAAATACATTTAGAAGTTAGTGAAAAATGAAATATAAATTCATACCAACTTAACCATAAAGATAAGATATCAAATATTTGTCACTATCATATCGCACAATATCGATAAAAATGACTTTGTATAAAAACGAACTGTCAAGTGAAAGACATATTGTTTTTCTAATTATAAGTACTTTACACTCTTTCATATGTGAATCAAGACTAGCATACATGACATACTTGCAGTTCTTTACCATTGATAAAATACAAATTACAATGCCTTCGTGTCATTATGTCGCAACAACCCAAAAAGCCGCACTAAATTGAAATTTTTGTCTATTGTTGTATTGATTTAATAATTAATTAATAAGATTATTCTAAATAATAATAACGCCTCGATTTGTCGCTATGCTACGTCAGCGTAGAATTTAAAAGAAACATTTATTACAGTAATTGTTGTATTTAAAATATCTCAATTCGAAGAAGAAACCTTTTACTTCATTTTTTTGAGTTGAGAAAAGGTCGTTCATTTAAAATAAAATTCGCTTCGTTTTTTTGTCTAATAATAATAATACAAAATATAGTTCTGAACATACATATACATATGTAGATAGTTTGTACATATTAAATAGATATTTAATATGTAGAAACTATGAGGTATTTACAAGTATATAGTATCCTGAATTTCTTTCTTACACTACACAATTTAAGAAAAGTAAAAAAAAATTAAAATGACTAAATAAGTAAATGGGTGTATTTAAAATTTGCTCTTCTTTCCAAAACCACTTCATGACTTTTTTTACCGTTGTACATGTTAGCCAAAACTTTTCTTCTCAATTTCGTTTTTTCCAAATGATCTAAAGGAAGATTCTGTTGGTGTTGTGTTGAATATTTATGAGAAAAATGACACAAATTTTATTAAATGTTGGTTACCTATGGTCAAATTTATTTTAAAATATGCATAAGTAACAAAATATATTTAAAAAATATCAATCCTTTGACAAACATTGATCCTCATTATTTAAACTTGGTTTAAATGAGAGGTCATTAAATACAAATAAAAATGGAATATGATGTATAATAAATTTGATATCTAACGTAAACTTTAAAAAATATTTTAATTATATCTTCCCGGGCCTGGGCCTTCGTCGACTACAACAGGAGCATGGTGAATGTGCTGCACGTCGTCGACCACGACTGGAGGGTGGTGGACAACGTGTACTTGGCCGCCGCCGCCGTTATTGTCGTCGCAGCAACAGCAACAACAGGGAGTGCAGGTAAAACTACAGCAAATACCCATATTTCTGAAAATAATAATTATTATTTGGTTAATAAAAGCTTATATTATTTTTTATTTGTATGTATATCATTAAAGTTCTTGAAATAGTAAATCATTTAACCTTGTATCTGTTTTTTGCATTTTGATTCATATATGAACAAATTACAGTGACTCTAATCGTTACTAACCATGATGAACATGTGTTAAAATGCAAATGACGCCATCTATAATAAACTAATTTTTTAATGGCAATTTTTTTCTATAATTCGTAAAATTACGATCATATTATTTTATTTTCCTTCATTAAGAGATTCATCAATATACTGAGATCTGTATTGAGATCTATTTTTTACGTTTATTGATTTAAAACAACTATAAAAAAATCGAAGGGGATAGCGCCATCTATTAACTTTTATAGAAACTATTTTTATTTAAAGAAGTAAAATACGCGCTTATTGACTGCGAAGTCTTGGTTTCACGTTTTGACTACAATTACATCCACAAGCAAAAAATGTTGATTTTTATATTCTTTGGAACTTGGAAATGACACACGCTCCGGTGTATTAGCAGCAACAACCTATTTAATTCTATGGCCACTTTAAGGTGCAAATGGTTCCCAAAATGGCTCTAACTAGCTGTAAAATTTTACACATTCTTATTTAAATTGAGATGTTTTTTATATTTTACAATCAAACAAATTAGCGTACGTAGGCAAAACTTTTGACTAGTGAATTTACAAATTCACCACAATTTGTATTAAGTACTTGAGTCGATTGAAAAAAAATCCAAAGATCTCTTTGACTTTTTAAATATCATCATAAATATTCAATTTTCAACTTACTTTTACAATAAAGCTTTTATTTTGTAATATATGTGACTTATTTAATGTGCTAGTAAAATATATTTGAGCAAGTCAATCAGACCTTATAGTCTACTAACTAATAACTTATATCATATTTATACGCCATCTTTGTAGCGTTTGCGGTATGATCCGAGAGCTGGTGAACATTTTAGGGTAGGTTCTTGAGGCACTACAGAAAATTTTGTAATTGTCCTTCAAGGACTGCCTCAAGAAATTACTCTATAATGTTTGTCAGCTCTCCTACAAGTACGAAAGAAGCTCATAATGAAGATTAAAAAATCAAAATCAAAGCAGTATTTGTCAACGCAAAGCTCGCTCGCGGTATGGGCGGACTTTATTGATATTACTCTCTAGTCAGGTAGGTAGTAGGTATCTACATACAACCAGTTGTTTTCCACATTCCACTAGTACAAGATTTTGGAATTTCTTATGCGGGTATTTCTGTAAACGCTTCTGTAGTTTAGCACTGCCACAAAAATACATATATTTAAAACACTCTATATATACAAATAAATGAAACTATCTATACAAATAAATAAAATTGAAGTGTCTGTAATGTCAAAATAACAGCTTTTTACTAAATGCATATGAAAGTATATGTTTACGCTACACTATTCACTTTCTAAAATTTTTGTGTCTTTCTGTGTGTTTGTTCCGGTTCATCTCAACCCATGAAATTGTAAACAAAATACGCGTACATATGGGAGGTTATGTCGCTAGTCTATGATAAAAGTTGCCGTAGTTATATAACATCTTCAGGCCATTTTGTTACTCAATAATGAATGCACAAGAAAAATAAATTAATAAAAACAGAAATACATAATATACTTTTAACTATTTAAAATTTTATTTTTTATTTTATATTTTTCATAAAATAATTTAGTTTGTTATACTTTATTTTATTTCCTTATTGTAACTTAATATTACTATATAAATATCTACTTACTATTACAAATCAGTTCGAGATCCAAAAGACACTGTGTGTCTGGTGTTAAATACGTTTATGATTTAGTAAAAGATGATTTCACCTAAATGATTAGATAAACAATCAAATGTTTGTCCTTTTCATATCGCAAAATATCGATAAATTATCTACGGGTATAACTAAGTAAGTGTACAAAGAAAACGTAGGGCCTATATCATAAAATATTAATTATAGTTTTCAAGCGATTCATCGTTCCCATATACCTCATTTTGTTTTACGATTGCTGAAAATATCACGACAATCTATAGTGGCGCAGTAATTCTATAAAGCCATAATAATAAATTATAACATGCTTAGAATAAGAATGCAAAAGCAATTTATTTTTAAGTTAAGAATTACGTAATCACATTAAAATATCTTAAGAATGAAAATAAGAATTTAATGTACATAAGTTATGATTAAAACAGAATTGAACTGTACATATTATGGAATAAATATAATAATATATTTACTCCATGATATGTACCGTTATCAAAGATATCGACATAATTAGTTATAAGTTTTAAAATACATAATTTGATGTTTTTATCTACTCCAAGAATTTTAATTAAATCACATACTGAAATATTTCTTAATTCCTAAAGATAGCATAATAAGTCTGACAATATACATACAGGCCAAGTTCTCGCAAACAGCACACAAACCATGCTTATTTACATACATATATTATAATTCTTTGGAAGTTATACTTCTTTTGGCACGTTTGGAAAAATATATGCGAGTAAAATTTTTACTACTCTATAGTTTTTAGACTTTTTTCTGTCTATATGTCTGTCTGTCTGTCTGTTACCGCATCACAGAAAAACCACTGGAGGGATTTTGATAAAATTTGGTATGGTGATAGCTGGTTATCCGGGTCAACGTATAGGGTTTTTTTTACCGCGGGAAAATGTCCCATTTCTGAGTAAAAATAAAAAAACTACAATGTAAGAGTATACTAATATGTAAAACCTAAGAATTTGGTTTTGGGTCACCTGAACGCGGGCGGAGCCGCGGGCAATTCTAGTCTTAAATAAATATATTATCATAATAAAAAAAAGCCGACTGCATAAAAGCTAACTAAGGAGATGAAAACAAGTTCACGGTGGAATATACTATTATGCAGTCGGAGACATACACGTTTCATCCTTGCCGCGAGATGTACATACTCGTATGTACATTGTACATATCTATGTCTAATTAGTGTTTAAGCATATTCTGAACATAATTACTGTTGTTGTAATACTAAAATACAATACTATATTATACATGTTACATTTTTTTTTCATGTGATGATAATATAAAATCACATTTCTGGAAATCTTGTAAAAATTGTAAGTTTAGAGAAAGATATAAAGCTCTACGTGTATCTAAAAGGACAAGGTAAGAAAGAGAATTAGTACAAAATATTTATAATTTATGTACATGTTTAAAATATAAGTAATAATTCGGTTATCAATAGACAATAAGATGTAGCGAGGACAAAAAACAAAGACTAGAGACGAGAAGAGGTTCTGTTTTCATATTATACATTTAGGTATATACATAAATGTAGAGCGTTAGAACTATTATTAAATAAAACAAATTGAAATTAACACTTTTATTATTATTTATAATAACAGAACCAGGATATATTCTTTGCGCATGGCTTTTTGCTCGTTTATAAGAAATATATTTACTTACTATTGTAAGTATAGTTTATCAATCCATTATCGACTAGGATCGCCACCCTCCTGGGTATCCTCCATGTGGTGGGTATCCGCTTGGTGGGTATCCGACCGGTGGATATACTCCAGGTGGATACATACTCGGTGGATATCCGTCTGGTGGTGGAGGGTAGGGATAGCCAGGTGGTGGTGGGTACTGATCAATAGTCACGGGTGGTTGTTCATCTACAATGACTGGCGGGTGGTGATCTACAATCTCAGGTGGATAATGATCCACAACCACTGGTGGATGATGATCCACGACTACTGGTGGGTAATGATCCACAACCACTGGTGGGCGATGATCCACAATTTCAGGTGGATAATGATCTACAACCACTGGTGGATGATGTTCCACAATAACAGGCGGCTGTTCATCTACAACCACAGGAGGGTGGTGGTCCACAATCAAGGAAGGTTGCTCGTCCACTGTTACGGGTGGATGATGAATCATCTGTGTAACATAATTGTTTTTACATCAAATTACAATTTAATGCATATGCCCAAAAATTTTCAATAGTGTAGTTTATCAATCTACATACATACGAGTATTATTATAAACAATTACACATGGAAAATGGTATTTAATTTATGCTTACCAAAGGTAAAGATATGCATTTAATTTTGTCTATGATCACTAATAAAATCTTATTAGTGGTCCACAATTTTATTAATTTATTTGTTTGTTTGTTTGTTTATTTATTTATTTATTTATTTATTACACATCATATCTATTATTCATTTTTAAGGTTCCTTTCCGAAGAGGCGAAATGTGAATTTTAGATTTGTAACTGTATTGTACTAATAACTAAATAATAGGACGCTTTGTATGACAATATTTAGTAATGCAATTTAAATCTTCGATAGTAGAGGGCACTGTATGAAAATTGTTAGCTTGGTGTTAGTTTGAAACGAAAGATAGGTGTTATCGCTAATAATATACCTACATAATAATTGTTATAATCTCTACCTTACAGACAGATAATATTATTCTATCTCTATCGTATAAAACATTTTACTTACAGTAGGAATATGTTAGCGTCGAATAACACTGATATTTAGCTGTCAAATATATGTATATAGGATTACTTTGAATATATGATAAATAAATTAAGAATTAAGCAAACGATCAATTCATATATTTGTCAATAACTTTTACTGATCTATCAAAAATGTTCAAGCGCACACGTAGGTATATGATGGAACGCAATCGTAAACTAACGCGTGAATCAAGGATTTTATCAGTTGTTTGCGCTAAAGTATTATCTATATTTAAAACTTCCAAACAAGTGAAAGAAATACACCAAAAGAAAAGTGATGCATTCTCGTTCGACAAAAAGGTCGAGAGGTGTCGTGGGACACCCTCGGGTGGTGGTTTAGAAACGAAGTTTCTTTGGCTGTCTGCTCTTTTGCCCTGGATCCGCACTTGTGATCGCCTGGTACTTATGATGACGTAACATGGGGTGCTTTCGTCGTGTCGAAATATTCCTTTATTATTCAGACAGAAATAATTTAAAATATTACTTTCCCGTTAATGACAAAAAATAACTGCGTCACCATTCGAGGACTTTAGACAATTTGCGAAAAATTCGCACGGGTCAACTTGTAAAAATTTTGTCACCATATATGGTTTTGTAGTGTGAATTTGCTTATTTTATTTTATATTATAATATATTATATTTTATTATATAGGTACATACGTTAAATATAATACAGTGCTTTCATCGAATATTAATAAATTTTAACTATATTAGGTAATTCATACCAAATTAAAAAAATATAGATACAAATTGTTTCGTGTTCGTGTTGATAATAAAAGGGATGATTTTAAAATACACTGGCGTGCAAAAAAATCGGGCCACCCTTAATCTTAAGCATAATTTTTTGTTGACAATTGTTTGGTGAAAAAAATACCGCAAATTTAATTAAGGAAATTAGACGCCTTTGTTTCCTTCAAAAATGTCATAAAATTCCTGGAAATGCACGTGTGCGCTTAATTATAGTCAATTAGCAGTAATTAGTGAATATTTACATAATATGGATTGAAGCCACAAATACTGTTTTTTTGTTATTTTAGAAGCTTAGTTGAGTTCCAATTATTGAACAAGACACTTCTACTTTGATCTGCGATTATTAGAAATACTGCAAGATGGATCTGACCGAGGCTGAATCATCTCGAATTGTGACTTTGCTTGAAACTGGACAAAGTCAACGTCAAGTGGCTCAAGCTTTTTCTGTGAGCCGTTCTACGGTCCAGAGAGTGTACAAACGTTACATAGGGACTGGTGGCTTTGTGCGACGACATGGTTCCGGCCGACGAGGAGCCACACCAGAGCGTGATGATCGATTTATTGTGTCATCAGCTCTAAGAAATCGTCATCGCACAGGGGTTGACGTTCGAAATCTCCTGAGAGAAGTGAGAGGTGTTAATGTTAGCGAGTGGACAGTAAGGCGCCGACTTAGAGCCGCTTCCCTGACGCCACGCAAGTCCGCAACTGGCCCCAAACTCACCCCTGCACATCGAATTCCAAGACTACTTTTTGCCCGAGATCACGTGAATTGGAATTTGGAGCAGTGGAAGAAGGTTCTTATTACTGACGAAAGCAGAATGTAAAGATCTTATAAAGGCTTACTGAGGTCCGCATATGTATACTAATGCTACGCATAATCCAGAAACCATCTTTAAGCAATTCTCTATGGATTACTCAGAGATGGATCCTGGCTGATGCCTCACATTAAATAAACTTGAATCTCTTAAGAGGCCTCTACGTGTTGGCAAATATACGTGTAATAAATGAAAATATTGACGCATCACTCAAATGAGGCCGCGTGTGGAAACTAGTAGTAGATAATAGAAATAATCTACACTTCCTAGTAAGGATTTGACTGTTTTACAGTTACATACACGTAATGTTATTACTTAACTATGATTCATAATTTTTATGAAAAATCAAGTAGTCTTTAATTCTATTCTACGACGTAAATTATCCGATAAAGCACCTTTCACAGTACGAGTTCGTTAAATTTTTTTACCCTTTACCTGTACCTGCTCGACCCGCAAACCATGCTTCCTGAATCGAGCGATTTTGGGTCATTCTATTGTTTTGTAGCTATAGTAATTATTTTGGAGGTCATGGCTAGGCATTGTGCGTTTTTAGAAAGCTAACAGTGTGTACTTTAATTTATATGCAAAATTTTATGAATAAAATATTTTAGTTCAAAGTGAAAATGCAGGTGGTGTGCTATTTCTTTGCTCTCGTTTGTGTTTGTGTTTAAAATTGAATTGATTTTATAGATTTTAATCTGGGGTTCTTAGTTTTGTTCATGTGAAGGGGGGGGGGGTTGTTGGTTGGTGACTGCTCGTTTCTCCTACCCACCCCTATTTTTAAAAAAATACTGTTTTTTAACAATATCTGTTAAAAAGGTAATGTAAAACAAAAATACTGAAAAAATAAATTAGCCACCATATTTACCCACCCCCTGAGATTGTATTATAACTTATCAGTATAGACTCCACAATAGTATTAACTAAATTACAAAATTTACACGGAAATAAAAGTACATTCTTAGTACAAGATTAAAGATTTATAAGTATGATTATCTTTTTTGATTCATTTATTAAGTTGTTAGTTAAAAACAATATCACATAAATATTGATAATATTATCACCTAACTTCCTATATTAGTAATTCATATTTATGTTAGTGTCGTAGGCGCGTAGCAAGAATAGGTCAAAGATGTGCTCTACCTCTATTGTGCTTATCCATTATGGAGCCTTTGCAGTATTCCAATGCATGTTTATATTTTTTTTTGATAAATTGAACTTAGCAATGATGAAGATTTTAAAAAATATCGTAAATTTAATAATTTAATTACTTACAAATGTTCATATCTACATACTCGTACATAGAGTGCCAAAGCTACGATTTGTACATATCTCTATCGTTTCGGATTTTTTCGCGGTTTTATTTAGATTTTTGATTCCAGGCGTTTCAAATGCTTTACCGCAATCATGATCACGAGAGAAACAATCAACGAAAAAATCCGAAAAGATAGTTTTATTTAAAATGTCAAATATTCGCGTAAATCTGAGAAAGTATTATATCTCTATCGCTTCTTCCATTGCTATGCTCTTCATACATTCTTGTCAGATGGACCTTAGAATTTGACCTTTGACCTTCTTTAAGTTTTCTTGTATTCTAATTAGTTTATTTAACGCGTGCTTTTCCTTCCATGTTACTAATTTTTCTTACGTCTTACTAATTTATATAAGTGAAATATCACTATCATATTAGCTTCCTTTTTAACCTTTCGAAATGAATTTACACATAGCACCTGCATTCATACCACATACATGTGCTTATGTGGTATCCATACTTCTTCATTTATTCTGAGGTCAGAGCCGAATTTAATTAAATTATAATGTGTATATGTAAAGTTTTCTTTTGTGTAATTTTGAAACGTTTAAATATTAAAATTCACTATTCAGCACATTTTTATTTATTTTTCATAGCTAGAAACTAAAAATTAAGAGATAATATAAAACGTTTTATATAAGTACCTAATGTTTGATTATTTTATCATAATTACTTTATAATAATATTATCTTAACAGATAAAACAATATTGATGTTAATTTAATACGATTCGGTGTTGTTTAATATAAAACGTAAACAAAATATGGTTAGAATTAATTAATTCTATTTACATACACTTTTCCAAATAAAATTGTAATTGCATTTTGAATTTAAACTGATGTTCCAAAAAATACCATTTTTATGAAATGCAATTTCATCACATAACTTATTCTTTGTGTAATTACGTTTGGATAATGTAAAAAACAACATTAATAATTAAGTGGAGTTTCGAGACAGATTTCACTATAGACTTTTCTGTTTAATGAATCATGAAATTATTTAGACCAATAAGATGCCCGATTAACCATATATTAAAAGTATTTAAAATATGAAAATCTATGTACCTAGATATGTTATCTATATCAATGTTAATGACATTAAACATTAAATAACAATTAACGGAATTTAAGTTTAATTTAATAACGTAATATCTATTACCTAAGCATTTATAACAATAAACCGATTTTAAGATTTGAAAAAAATTTATAAATATTGTTCATTTTACTTAAATATTATAATGTAGTAATAAAAAATGTAGATGTACCTACCTCAATTTAAAAAAAAAAACATTTTTGGCTCATTGTGATAAGATAGAATTAAAAAAAAAAGAAATAAAGACACAGAATATTATATCGCCTTTAAATTAACATATAGGTATGTATAATACAGGTACACAATAATATAATTTAGATTACACTAACGTCTAACAATACGACCAACCAGAAGATGACTAACAGTTACTCTAATATTAATCGATAATATTAATAACAGTTAGATTTAATAAAAGTGTTTTAAAAAATTTCATACATTTTTTTCATTTACCTACCTATTGCGATAAAATGCATTGCACTCGGATTTTAGGCCATAGCAAGTAGCAACGTAGGTACATATGTTTTTAAATGTACATATCACAATACCTTAAGTTATAAGCTGTATCAAACAAACGCAACATATATACATAGTTATAGTTACCTACTATTACACGTTACATATGAACAATGAACATTAAACTTGTATAAATTAGCCTTGATAATACAGCATTAAATGAGAATTTACGTATAAAAGAACATTAATAAAATGATAAGAAAAGAAAAATAACTAATTATAATAAACGAAAATCTAAAAACCAGTTAAAAAACAATTACTTATTACAATTGTTATCTATTCAGTATTTTGAACTCATTCTAAGTTTCATTTGTTATTACTAAACATATATTAAGATAGACCAATAGTTTAAAGACAGGTACTATCTATAAGGTGGAGGGGGTCCATGACGACTGATAGAGCTGCCAGGAGGTACTTGAATGACTGTCTGATTATTATTAACAACGGTAGTACGACGCGGGGGGTCTGAGCAACAGTCGCAGCAACAGCACGGAACACAGCAGCAACAGCACGGACGACAAGATATATTGCACCCCATCCTGGAATTGTACGATATCGTCTATTAAATAAATTATCACACTGAGACACTTTGTGAGTTCGTTTATCACACAAGCGACGCCGCGGGTAAAAATTTAATATATATATATATATATATATATATATATATATATATATATATATATATATATATATATATATATATATATATATATGTTAAAGATTATATTCATATGAGTATAAATGTACCTAATTATCTGAGGAATTGATTTGTCTATCGTGAATTCGATACCTGCACGCAGCTATTACTGATTAGTGACTAAAATATCATGATTAAACCATAATTATTTATACTTAGTATACGTTACGCGTATTATCGACCATATTATCAAGAAATATTAATAGATAGTAATAAAAAGGCATACCTTATTGATTATAATTTTCAGATTTTTGGCGCACTATCGACCACCATATGGATATCCGCCGGGTGGTGGATATCCGCCGGGTGGTGGATATCCGCCGGGTGGTGGATATCCGCCGGGTGGTGGATAACCTCCGGGTGGTGGGTAGCCCGGATAACTGTCAGGTGGGGGTGGATGATAGCCGGGGTATCCGCCTTGGTCAACAATCACGGGTGGTTGATGAACTACCACAGTCTGCGGTGGCTGTTGTTGTTGACCACACGCGTTGGGGCAACAACATGGGATCAGGCAACAAGCTCCAAGTGCCAAGCAACAAGGGGTAAAGCAATCATCACACTCTCCACAGTCAAACGAAAAACACAACCCCATATCTTGCTTTGTTGCTCCTTAAACTAAAAATGGAATGCACGAAATTATTGTTAGTCATATAGATATATTCCTCGTGATACCTTATCAGGTACATTATATTTATTAGTCTAAACGTTAACTATTCATACAATATAGAACTTTATGTGTAATGCAATAAAATTTAAATTTCCAATTGCAGTTATTATCTTATTTATCACTGCTCCGACTATTTATCTCAAGTTAACAGATAATAGTTCCTGTATACATACATACATTGTATATAACACATACATAATATGGTATAATACTTTATGGATTACTTATAAATATTTTAAGTAGATACAAAAAATGAATGTTATGGGTATGAATGTAATTAAATAGCAATAAGTTAAAGAAGAAAACAAATTAATGAGGTGATATTGTCTTAAATGTTATTGTTCATTTAAAGGTTTAAATTTTGTTTCAAGAAATTATATTCGAGCTTAAAAATACAAAAAAAAATTGATACTACTTAAAAGATAAATATTTCTAAAAACAAACTCAAGAATAATGTACAAACCAAGTATAATATATAGTTGAATTTATTATCTAGGTATATATTTAAGATTAAGAAAAGCTAGTATGATAAATAAGAAAAGTACTCATAAGTCTCAATACAATTATTAAAAAATCTCACATATTTTTAATGTTTACAAAATCAGTTACTGGTATAAAATAAAACAAAATTATCTTACCCAATTGATGCAATAAACAACTGAATATAGAGCTATTTACTACGTAAATTTAAGACATAATGAAAAATAAAATTTGTAACAAAATGAGTCAGTCGAAATAATACGGTTTGTCACACTCCGGGAAAATTTACAGTGACGTTTGCGCGAGCGCAGCTACGCGCACTCTAGCCATTTCGCTTTCTCAGTCCACACTGCTCTACAAGTGAGAACAACTATATTACCTTGAAGTCTATATGGCACGGAAAATCGTAACTTCACAACCTTGCATCATTACCTACTTGTAAAATTCAGTACACGTTACAAATAATTATGTGGAAATCATTATAACGCTATTAGAAACTATTTATAGCTCATCAATGTAATTAATTTTAAATATTTATCTGGAAGATTAAGTGTGAGATATCTATCTCTATCTAATATATCTTACTTCTTTACAAATGTAAAAAAAAGTAGAAGTATCCGTATTGTATTGGAGTCGACACCAATGGCAGACCAATAGTAGAATCAATACATTAGAACTTATTTACGTAGGTTCTAGTTTATTGTTTTGGTTTCCATAGTAATAGCTAAAAGTAAGTATGTACCTACGTACGAAATAGCATCTACTACTTTAGTAATGTTTTCAAAGAAGTCTTTAATCCCTCCACGACCGTGGACACGCCGGCGTTACAGTTAACAGTTATTATCTATATAGGTATATAGATTTCTTAGAAATTTAATTAATTTCTTAGAAATTTGCCTGGAGGTGTTAAATTATTATAAAAAAGAAAACGTTTATTGTACTGAAGTAAATCTTGATGACTTATACCCATACATACTTATTTAAAGAAGATTTACATTCGCGTAAATCTAAGAAAGTATTACGTAGAAGATTTACCTTTTATGTTCATGTAGCCATTTATTATCCCGTACATAGTCATCTATAGACTACCTATATATTATTATATAAAATTCCATATAAAGGAAAAGGTTTTGGTCAAACAAGTCAAATATGTACTTACATGAACGTCAAACGGTGAGTCATGATAACATAAATTAACTAACTAATGAGCTATAGTATAATTTTCTAGGTAGAGCACTCAAAGGAAAAAGTCAAAGAACTCTTTTAACTAAAAAAAACTAAGAATATAATTAGAGAGAAATGTAAAACGATACTAATATTGTGTTATATAGATTTTTACATTTTTAAAGGTATCACGAAAAATACTCAAATCTGTCCCGGCACACAGACTAGTTGAATAGTGAACACAAATTAAAGAAAAAAGAACTCACGGCTTCTGAGCACAAGGTTATAGCCTTCATTCGACTTACCGTATTTTTTGTTGAAATTTTTACTTTTACAAGAAATATAATTGACCATTCGTTGTAAAGTGAATTAATTATAATCTACAAGAAAATTGCAGCAAAAATTAAATTCATAATGTAACTTATTATGATATTACGATTATACGGTTTGGCTTCTAAGCTAAATATTACTGTTATTGTTTCAATTAATCTAATAATTAATTATTCATGCTAAAATATTGAAATATATAATTTTAAATATTATGCAACTACATTTTTATCCGTACTTACTCTCAACGTATTGGATGAATTTTGTTAAATAAATGCATTTACTTTTCCGAATCTTATAATTTTTTTATTGATATCTTCAATGTCAATTAAGTACATACTTAGTTCTAATAATAGTACAATCAAGGGAAATCATTAAGTTTCTTTTTCCCTATGAGAAATAATTTACTAATCCTTAAGCCAACTGTTGAATTATTAGTATTAATACTTATATATATAGATATATAAGTTGCAATTTCCTCTTTCCATATAATATAGTTATATTGTATTAGGTACTCTTTCAAAAGAAATGAATATATCTAACTTAGCAAAATTATAGATTTTAAAAACTTACTCATAGATAATAATAAAAATAACATTTTCCCATTACTCTATTAGTATAAACGCTATATTATATTTCTATAATAAAAAATATCAAAAGATCAGTTTGCGTTTTAGCTAAAGAAAAACAGCAGGCTTTATATTTATTATAATTTTAGGCAAGACTGCGAGTTGCGACCCGTTCTCGTTTCGCTCAGAGACCAGAGTCCTTATTTTATATTAATAGCTCACCCTCGCTTCGCTCAGATTCGTCCACAGGTACGTTTTGATGCTTAGTATGGAAAAGTTTTCAATTGTTTTTCGTGAATTTTTCCGATATTTTAATAGGTATATTATACTGTAATTTGGGATGAAGACAACAAAACAAAGATCATAAAAATCGGTCCAGCAGTTCTCGAGTTATAAGTGTTGTAAACTTGTAAAGATGTAACTTTTCAAATCTAAACGTTAACTGTTAGTTTATACTTTATATCATTATGTTATATACTTACAACTGAATACTTTTATCCCAATAATGAGTTTCATAAGGAAAATAATTCTATTTGTGGACACGGACCAGCTACAACCAGACCCAGACCCAAGATAAGCAAAAATTTCATAATAAGTATGTTTTTATCTATTTTTTAAAAATCGATCTACATCAAGTAAATCTTAACACTACCTACATCATTAATCATCACATAAGATTAATCTGGCTTTTGTTTACTATACTGAAAACTGTGTTTCTATTGTTTATCCTTTTGAGAGCAATGATGAACCAAACACAGACATACATACTTTGTTTTATTTTTAAATAATTAGTTATAAGCCACCTCGTTTTGATCGACTTTGTTTTACTTTGACATACTTTGTTTTATTTTTAAATAGTTAGTTATAAAACACCTCGTTTTGATCGACTTCAAAAAGGAGGTAGTTCTCAATTTGGTTGTATCTTTTTTTGAGCGTATGCTACGAGTACGTGATATTAGTCGTGATCTTGATGTTGATTGATTTTTCTTAAGTTATTTTTTTTATAAGTATCTATGTATAAGTACCTTGTGAATGACACTAAGAATAATACAGACAATCCCACACAATGTTCAAAAAAATAATCGACCCCTAAGGGAACATATGCTATTAATTGGAACTTAAAGTTGGTCTAGGTAGTTCATTATTTCCCCCCCCAACGTGCGTTCACCTTGTCGTGGTGGGGGGGCTCAGTAGTGCCCGGCAACCCAACCGGGCGCGAAGCCAAGAAACGCACAGGGAGGTGGCCCACTTCGGTGGGCGGTGGGAGGTGGCCCTCTTCGGAGGGCAGTGTACCATGCGGGTTGCTCCTGGTACTTCTCTGATAGTAGAGTGGACTGTGGAGCAACCCCGTGGTTGTTGTGGTATGCTTCGGCAGACCTGCCGTCGGGGCGTCGTAGTTGAATGCGTAAGCGATCCTGCGTCGCCCCATTAAGACGGGGGAAGGTTTTGTTGGGTTTTAATGGGTAGTACTGGCTTTGCCGGTGAGTCCCACACCTCGTGCGTAAATGCATTTCTCAACGTTAAAAAATAAGGTAGTTCATTAATTAAAAACATTAAAATTAACTAATACAAACACGGGATATATTTCAAGAATTTGTTTTTAGGCAGGCTCCTTGGTCTAGTGGTGGGGATTTATATATTTACGACTGTAGATCTTAGGCCTCGGTTTCAAATATAGCTATCTACTGGGGTTTACTGTCACGAAATGCCCAGCACGGTGTTGGACAGTTGGTGTTAACAACCCCCTTTTCTCCGAAAGCACATTAATCTATCGGTCCTGCACCGTACCTCTTGATAATCCTGTGGAATCGTAGGCCTATGCGAATACGTTTGCTCATAAGAAAACCTATGTATTGCGCAGTTGATTAGTCTCTGAGATTCGCTCTAACCGAAATCTGATAAAGGGGCATTACATCTTATCAAAATCCAAACAAATACTTTAACATTTTTTTGATATAATCATTGCTAGATAAAGTATTGGGCCGGAAGTGACTTTTGTTTTTTTTTTATGTTACATAAGTATTTTAAATGCTGTGAAAAGAATGTTCGTCGCTTAATAGGGAATAATAAAATTGATTGAAAATTATTATATTATTGAAGTTATACATTTGAAGTTTTCTTCGTAAGCTTCGTTTCTGTGTAAAGTTTTCGTCGTAACTAAGATAAATAAAATACATAAAAGAAAAAAATATAAAGCGGTCTACTTGCACGCATAGGCACCATACCGCGGGCAACACCTACGTATTTAACAATAAGGATGAGTTGTAAATAATATATTCGTACAAGATTTAAATATATTGCGTAGTCATTCTATAGTGTCAGACTGGATTATACGCATATTGGAAATTCCTTTAAAAGTAATTGTTATTTTTTCAGAACTATTCATATAGTCATAACGATGTCAATACAAACCATCATTAATAAATAAGTGTACGTATGTGGCTGTTGACAATTTTATTAGGTAATAAATTATAACAGAATTCAAAAAAAAAATATAATCACAGCAACTAATCCTAATAATCTTATCACAGACGTACGTCACACTCAATCAATGCCAAAGTTAAGTAGGATCTTTGCTGTAATACGCCATCACAGTAGGTACTAGCTGGTATACTTAGTGTGACATGGTAATAAAATGTGGCAATAAAACCAAAGTGATGACTTCTGAGGACATTGCTCTGATTTCATTAGCGGAAACAACAAGTGAACACGTGAAACTGGTAGAAGATAGTGAAACAGATTTTTCTGCTTACGAAAAAAGAAATCACAAATATGATAAGCGCACTAAAGAACGCTCTTTGTTTTTCCGCGCACCGAATTTTCGATTCAGGCCAAATTTTACTAAGTTTCGTAAAAACATGAAGAAATTAAGTTGTATGCGAACCGAAGAAGATGAAATTTCGATGACGGATGTCCCTAGACATAAAAGTATAGATATCGGCGTAGGATTTGCTCGAAAAATGTCACTGTTTCTTTTCACAAAAAAGTCAGTGTGTTTACATCCGTTTCATCCATTTACACCGAAGCAAACTACTAGAAAAATTTATTTTTCAAATGATGAAAAATAGTAGGAATCATTTTTAACCTCATATTACCTCAAATATTTACAGAGTTAATTGAAAGCCTGTCATCCCTTTTATAAAGATATAAAAGTTAGAGGACGGTTTGTAATAAATTGTTGGAAAGTAGGATTTATTAAAGGACAAAAAAGTGTTTTGTGATTGTGATTGTTTTGTTTGTGTTGAATCTCGTTTTGTAAAAAATTGAGGTCTTTAAAGTTATAATAAATTAATTTCACGATGGATGTTTAAATTTAAGTTCAAAATATTAAGTCCCCACAAGTAATTATGAGTTTATACTATAAATTTTAACTTTATATTGTAGTCAGCCCTTTTTTTTACGTCCCAGTGCTGGGCACGGGCCTCCCTTCAATACGAGAGGGATCAGGCCATAGTCATTTATATATAGTACATATTTTACTTTTTTTACACCTATTAGGTACACCATACATAATTCGACATTGTTTGCGAATATGACCCACACTGGTTTACGATTTTACAAGAATTCTTTAAAGTAACTATAAAAGGCTATAGTAGGTACTTCCTAGTAGGTGTATACTTCAGACATACAAAAAAAAATCAAAGTCAAAAATAGTAGCGTGATTTTGCGGTTTATAATCAAAAAGAAAAATATTATTGTTTATAATATCTACCTACTGTTCCAAACTTCCCTTTATCGTGATGCGTGCAAGTAAAGGGGCCGCGATCGGGTACTTAAGTATGTACAATAATCATTCGCCGATTTGTTATGGTTTTTATAAATATTTATTTGCCATAAATTTCCAACACAAAACTTCAGCTATTTTATAAGATCAAAGATGCTGCCATAGACGCCGTGGAATAAGATACATTTACATTATATACTCGATGATTTACAATTCTGTGAAAATTATAAATAACATTGCTCAATACTAAAAAAAATATGCGACTCGATTTATATCGATTTCATAATTAAGTTAACTACTTAATAATATCTATAGGCATTTTATTTTGTTACCACATCTGGTATTATGTATTTATTTTGATTAATAAAAAGTTTGAAAGAGCTGAACAATTTTTTGGTATATTTTTTTCTTTCGCCACTAATAAAACTTATATCATAACCAGAACATTATGTAAGAAGTATTTTTATGAAGAAACCAACTCGCTAAACCGGAATCAGAGATATTATGTTTGCTATACCTTTTTATCAGGCGTTATTTTTAATAAATACTAGTTGATTCTACTTAAACAACTTATATAAAGTGACTCGACTCTTTATATTTGGTTAGGTGATCCGGGTAACAAGTGAATCCATTTTCTATGACTTTGTACTTTAATATTCTTCAAAATCGAAATATTCCTTTTTGGGGTTTATTTTCTATGTTTTAACCAAGTAATAATATAATGTTATATTAATTATTGATTGTATCATTGTATATACAGGTGATATACGTAAATATATTTCCCAAAGTTAAAAAAAGGATTCATACAAATAATAAAACGTACGATGTACTTGGACATAAAACTATTCTATATTAAAAAAGCGCAGCTTAGTAAAAAGTTCAAATCAAATCAGAAATCACTTTATTTATTTATTTATCAGATTGAACACCACCAATAGCAAAGCGTCGATATCAACATGAAGTTATAATGAAAACAAGTAATTTGTAATAATATTTTATACTAAATTATCATAAAGAAACACAAATCAAACTTTTGTAGCACAAGATCAATTTTCATTAAAACAATAACATAAAAATACTTGCAATTTATCCTGTACTAATATAAAAAAGGTAACTAAATAGATGAAAACAAATAGACGAAGGAACACATTATGCAGTTGGAGACATTATCGAATTTCGCTTTTTACGCAATTGGTTATTTTTATTTCTTTAATTTAATTTTTATTTTAAGCCGTTTGGTTTTTAACTAAGGCATTTAGTGCTTTATTTGACAAATTGATATCCTAAATTATTTTTAACCATAGTTTGTTGTAATCGCTTATACAGGTGCAGTTCAAACACATAACTTTCCTTTCACAATCGGCTTAAAAAATTGGTATAGGATATATTGCAAAAATGATGTAAGTACATACGTGAAAAAAGATAAAAAGAGGAAATTTAACTATGAACTATTTAACTTTAAATAGTTAACAAATTACATTTGCTTTATGAACAATAAATAAGTATAATAATCATAATAAATTAATGAATACAACTAGGAGATTCCATCCACATTCAAGTGCTTATAATACATTACATGAATGAATCATTGAATAATGATGATCATTGATCTATAAAAAAAAATGTTTCAGCACTGAAGTGACATATTTAAGTTAGGGCGAATTAGTATAATTAAATAAGAAATACTGTAAAATCTGTAGATACTGTAAAATAGTAAAAGACATGCTCTAGAATCATTTACTAAGTTAGCTTATAATTTTATTTTTATTATATTATTAAGTTAGTTATTATTAATAGCTTAAAATAAAATGTATAATGAACTATCAGATCTTTAAATTACTGTCATTGTGTTATAGTAATGTTTAATTCTAATTGTGTGAAAAATAATATTTAGACAAAAAAGTCAGAGAGCATAGAGCATAAGTCAGAGAGAGAAATAAGTACAAAATATAAAGGTTAAAAAAATATAACTAAAAGGAACTAAAAATTGATATACTTAACATGGAAAAATAATCAAGCAAACAAAACAAATACTATTCGTGATTATTACACAAGTATACTTACTAATAATTGTACACAATATGTACTACGAGAGTATGTAAGATTTTTAATACTCATAAATGTAAATATTTTTAGCGCTACGCGAATATTTGATATTTTAAATAAAACTACCTTTTCGAATTATTGCGCCGATTTATTTAGATTTTTGGTGAACGTTTTGATTGCTGTAAAGCACTCGAAACGTCGGGAATCAAAAATCAAAATAAATCCGCGAAGTAATCTGAAAAGATAGAATTTACAAAATGACGAAGTGTAAATAAGCCTTTGTTGTTGTCATTTTTAATAATATCTAACTTCCTAACCATAAGTAACAAACAATCATTTGTTACAAAATAGAGGCATATTTAAATTATAAATCATAAATTGTTTAACAAAATGATTTGACTGCAAAACAAATTTAGCAGAATGTGTATGACCTAGATCAACAGTAATAATTAAATTAGTAGTAGAATTTATTGACAAAGTTACTTTGTCAAAAAATTCTACTTTAAGTAAGTACATTGATATACAAAAACTCAAGATACACAATTAGCGTCTCAAAAGTGTCCTCAAAAATAAAACTCACAATTCGAAATTATTATTGTTATGTCGACGTATTTTTGATAAATATAAATGTTAATTCATATGTTTTTGTAATATTCGGATATAGATTATTCGGTTTTTATTTAATTTGTATTAGTAATAGCTACATTACAACTAATATGTTTTGCTATAAGAACGGTACCTACAATCTCCTTTTATACTTGGTCGCCTAATAACTTATCTCTGTTCTTATTTAAATAGTCCATAACGTAGGTACTCTTTTAATTAATTTTTTATCTTTTTTTAGAAAAATGAGCCTGTTTAAATTTTAAAACGATTAATTTATATCTTAATGTTTTATTTGGTAGGACTAAATTATAGATGCTCCATCGAGCTTAATTTTTTTCTTAAAATAATTTTATAATATTTAATGGTGATGCCATTACAATAAGTTTAATACACATTCCCGATGATAATACGAATATTACAATACAACAATATTATTAAATTGCAAAAATAAATATCTATAGATAACGATTTTTCTCTATGTAGGCTTAATTCTGCCCGGCTCCCTTATGTGATTGTTTTTCAAAAGACAAATAAAACGTGACACACCTTGTTTATATACGCAAAAATTCGAATTTGTGTTAACACTATCAGAACTTGCGGCTTTTTGGTTTTATTTTTTGATTTGAATTAACGTAATTTACGACGACACCATCATGTTTATATCCTATGGCATCTATGTTTTTATATATCAATGACTATATATTTTACATTTTTAATTTCTTTCATATTTAATTAAGTTCAAATAAGTGAAGCTCATGAAAAAAAGATCTCATTACATGGCCCAATGGCAAATTGCATTAAAAATATAAAACAATTTTAATACTAAAACCTGGTTCTAAATAATGGCAGGCTCCTGAAATTACTTTTTCCCTATATCTTTTGTTCTCATAGTAGCAGCTTCAATTGCGTTAATTAATGTAGCTCTGAAATAAAATAAACATTTCATCAAATTTTCATTCTTTTTATTTATATTCTGGTTTTTAGGTATTTTATTTACTTAGCGGTTCCCCGACGCGGCGACGGTCATCATCAAAATATTAAAAGCTACTTTTAATGAAGTTAACGGGCCAAGAGAGAAATTTTATTGTTTTACTTAAAATATTTAATTATATTTTTATTTCATCCTCTTAAAATTACTTGTGGACACCAGTGGCGAAGCGTCTATACAAGACGACTTACCTTAAAATTATTTTACTATAATGTTACATACATTTAATTGTTTAAATGTATAAATGTTCTTTTGGAAATATACATATAATAATAGCTTTAATTCTTTCTGCATTAATACGTATATAAAAATTTTATATTTTTGGAACGGCTTACTTTGCTAAAATTTCACCATTCGCCACTGGTGGACACTGATCCTAATAGATAACTCTCATTGAAACTATTCTTATGAGCCCAAACGTATGCTATATCTGCCATAAGTTTCTGAGGAATTGAGCATTTCACATACTATATAATATTAGCCCAAGGTTAATGTCTTGGAAATACCAGCAAAGTAACAGCAACCAAATTTCAAATGAATCGGATCTGTGAAAGTTAGTAAGATCCTTTTGTCAAGTAGGAAATGAGTAATGATCATCAAACGCCTGAATAGATCTTCATAAATTATAGCTAAGAACCATCTCGATCACGTCAGCTTTTAAACAAAAAAACCGCATCTAAATCGGTCCATTCGTTTAGTACTTACGATTCCACAGACAGGCACATAGATACATATACACACAAACATAGACATATAAACAGACATCCCCCCAAAGTGCGTTCACCTTGTCGTGGTGGGGAGGCTCAGTAGTGCCCGGCAATACAGCCGGGCGCGAAGCCAAGAAACGCACAGGGAGGTGGCCCGCTTCGGTGGGCGGTGGGAGGCGGCCCTCTTCGGAGGGCGGTGTACCATGCGGGTTGCTCCTGGTACTTCTCTGATAGCAGAGTGGACCTTGGAGCAACCCCATGGTTGTTGTGGTCTGCTTCGGCAGACCTGCCGTCGGGGCGTCGTAGTTGAATGCGTAAGCGATCCTGCGACGCCCCATTAAGACGGGGGAAGGTTTTGTTGGGTTTTAGTGGGTAGTACTGGCTTCGCCGGTGAGTCCCACACTTCGTGCGTAAATGCATTTCCCAACTTTAAAAAAAAATACAAACAGACATGTCAAACTTTATCACCCCTCCTTTTATGTCGGGGGTTAAAAAAGGTTATAATTGAATCAGGCATTTGTTAAAATATCAATATCTAAAAATCGGACCGAAACGTATTAGTTATTAATAACTGAAAGATTATTGGAAATTTTAAAATTTCTTAGTGAACTACTACAATATAAACGCAAGTTAACAGAAAATTAATTCAAAGCAGTAAATTACTAACAACATTGACACCCCAAGCAAAAAAAAGTGTAATTATTTTTTTATTTTACTTATTATCAATGTAGGTATATAGCAAACATCGCATAGTTAGATTTTGAGAACTCATTTATACACATAAAAATTCTAAAGGAAATTCTAAGAAGTAGGGGAAATTTTCCCGTGGATCTGAAAACTTGAACTAAATTTTAACAATCCACTGGTCAGCTACTTGGAAGCTTCCAATAGACCCGTATATAGGGTGAATAGTCACTTCGTAAAAATACATTGTTTTTTTTAAATATAATTTATATATAAAATAGTTATATTTATATAAATACCTAATTCTTCCATTTTCAAGAGCGGTAACACCACAAATAGTGGTTCCACCAGGGGAGCAAACCTCATCCTTCAGTAAACCAGGATGTTTACCGCTGTGTAAAACCATTTTACCACTCCCCATTACCATTTGGGCTGCGTGTCTTAGCGCCAATGCCCTTGGACATCCTTGCTTTACAGCTCCGTCAGCTAGAGCTTCTATTATTATATATATCTGGAATCACATATTTTTTGATTAAAATTTAAGTAAACACAAAGATACAAGGTACTTACTATTCATGATCACAATATAAAGATCACATTCTCTAGACTCTCAAATCTAAAGAGATAATTGTAAATTTTCATTAATAAAATTAATTTTATTGACACCATTCACATGATAGATATGTTATATGATATATAATACAATAAAATAGCCAATGTGTTAGCCTCAGTAAGATTGGCTACCATGATTGAAATTGGACATTATTGTGAAAAAGTAATACTGTAATACTCACAAATGCAGGGCCACATGCAGTAAGAGTTCCTAGAGAGTCCATAAGTGACTCTGGAATTTTCTCACACACACCACAACCCTGTAGTAACTTTTCTAACATATTGCATTGTTCTTGTGATATGTTAACATCTGGAGTGTACATACAAGACCCTGCACCAACAGCCATTGGCGTATTTGGAAAAATTCGTATTACACTGTATTTTACAGGTAGTATTTTCAAAGCCTAAAATATGTTTTCCTTTTAAGAACTGTTATTTTAAGATAAATTGTATGTATTTTTATAACTGCCTCGGTGGTGTAGTGGCTAGCATGTACGGCTGCACACTCAGAGGTCCTGGGTTCGAGTCCCGGGTCAGGCAAAATTTAGTTATTGAGTCATTCTGTATAGTAAGTCTCAGTAACAGCCCGGAGTTCGGTAGTTGGCGGTATTTCACCCCCGTGCCTCGGAGAGCACGTTAAGTCGTCGGTCCTGCGCCTTAACTCTCACTGGTCGTGTCGAGCAGTCGTCCCACCGGAGTATGAGAGTGACAGGAATAGAGAGTGCACTTGTGCACTATAATATCTCCTGCGCAGTTGGCTAGTCTCAATGAGATTGGCCGCCGTGGCCAGAATCGGCTAGGAGAACATCATCATCAGTATGTATTCATTTGTATATTAATTAAATTCAGAAAACTGTTAGTTTACCTTGTGCAATTGTTCTATATTAACACCAGCTAGCATTGACACAAATGTAATATTTTTGTTTAGGACTAGATTAACAGAACATGTATTGAGACAATCCTGTATTGCAGTATTTAACATTCCAGGTTTAACACCAAGAAATATAGTCTCACATACACTAAGTAATTCCCCATTTTTATTAGTAATGCATGCACCTAATTCTAGCCAGTGTTGAAGATTCTCCAAATTTGGCCCAGAAACCCATATATCAGGAGCTGGTTGGTCATCTACAAATAATGATTAATATTTTCTTTATTTTAAGGTTAATATGTAGTCATTTTATTGAATAACTTTTTTTATTTTTATTTAGTAATATTAGCGTTATTAATTGTTTTAAATGTAAAAAATTTAAAAGTTATAATTAAGCAATAATGAAAAATTATTATATTTTCACCACATACCATTTTTTAATATTCCTTTAAAAATAGCAGTGGACATATTTCCACCACCAATAAATCCTATATTCATCATTATTTTTAATTAAATTCTTTTTTTAGTAGATATTAGAATTAAGATGTGCTAGTTGGACTTGGGTCATAGGGCATAGCAAAGAGTATAGATATATACATAGTTTATTTTAGCAATCATGCAATGACATTTGTCAACTGTCAACTGTCAGTGTCACATACAAATTACAATAGACAAAAGAAGTGGACATTGGACTGTGGTGAATGGAGATCAAGATTCGACTTTCGCGTCAGTCACAGTCAGGTCAGAGCATGGACGAATTAGAGACTGGACCTGACATAAAATACAAATGTATGAAAACTAGTTCAACCAAGTGACGCATAACGCACACAAAGATTTTATTACATTATTATAGACACTGATACACAATACAATATTTCTAGTGCTTGAACGTAATCGATAAAATACATATATCGATGAACCAATGAATGACATTTTAGACATTGGTTAGCATAGTCATCATATTTTACATCTTTTAATATAAAATATCTGTATTTATTATAATAAATTAAAATAAATGAATTAAAGAGGCAATAATGATGTGTCAAATAATAATTATTTTTTAATTTGATTTATATAAATACGATGGCAATGATAGTAACATTCTGTTGGCCTATAATAATGTTAATGAACAAATGAATATCGGGTGTATATTCCATTAATATATGATAAATATTATTTTGTAAAGATTAAAAAAATATTAAGCTAATTTAATTAAATAAAGTGATTTTGTTGATTCTGTTATTAAACTATTTTATTTGGCAATCGATTGTCTCGGGTAGTTATAAAAATGTGACAGTGTCCTAATAATGCTCAGTTTTTAATAAACATTTGTGAAATTAGGAAAAAGAAAAAGTGATTGTAAATTGTGAAAGAGTGAGTGTTGGATCGTGAAAGTAAAATAATTAGTGCAAGGGGTAAAGTGTTTTATTACAAATCGCCAACCCAGAAGTTTAGTGCTAAAACATTATTGTTTGATTTTGTGCAATTTATGTGTTGAAATAAAATTATCTTTATTATTATACAATGGAATAATATTCCAAAGTATACAAATGTAGTATAAAATAAAATAAAAAATTAAGTACACGTACTAATTATAATTTTTGCATTTATATTTTTATTTAATTTAGAAAATATTTTTATAAATTTAATGTCATTAGATTGTAGGATACTGTGATAAAAATATTTTATGTTACTGTACTGTACAAATAACACAATTCGTTCAGTTATTTCGTCAAATATCGATATATTTTTCGACCTTGTCAAGCACTAGTCGATGTCAAATGGACTCACTCGACAGTTTTGTCATTTGTTCTGAATGGTATAATCCAGCCATTTTATGATGATTGTCAGATGTCAACAATACATAGAAATATCGACTATATTTAACATAGTTGGATAATATGACATTTTATTTTACATTTAATTAAATTTTGTGATAAATAACAATCAATGTAATAAAATAATGTATTTACAAGTGAAAAGAAATAGTGCTGCTTCCGCCGTTATAGTTTTTACACCATTTAACAGAACATTTAGTCATTTTTGGGAGATGTTTTGTTGACAAGTAAGTGCTTGAGACTTTTAAAATTCTTCCACTTGCTACTATAGCGCCACCTTAATTTGCTCTCTTTTAACGGACACTTTTTAATACACTGAGATGGTGCTCCTTTCTTCTACCGTCCATAATAAAAACATAAAAAAATAACATTATAATAACAGATCATTAATACAAAATCGTATCGTAGGTTTTTAAATATGTATAAAATAGTACATCAACCTAATGTACAATAGATTAAGCTCAATATTTTAAAGTATATAGAAAGAAAATTAATAGTACCTTTTCATCCATGGTGCATATACTACTTTATGTAAATAAAAACTTTGTTGATTAATATTATTATTTTTAATATTATATTTTACTGTTAAAAACGTATGAATTCTATTACGTAACATGTAACATGTATTTTGTTTTAATGGTAATGATAAATAATAATAATTATTTTCAAGTAACTTTTCATCTTTAGTTAAACAAGTTATAATTATGTGGCAACACTGGTAGTTTGTGGCTTCATTTTCGAGGGTGAGGTGTTTCGAATAACTTTTGGCGTATTTTGATGTCGTTGATCCTTTTTGAAATGCTGAAGTAGTGTTACAATCGGCAAAGTGCTCAAATATGTGTCGTGATAGTGATTTAATAAATAATAGTTCGATTGTAGTGTAGTGTCCAACATGTTTCGATGTATACCTTTGTTCAAATGTAATCGCCAAGTGGAATGTGTAGACAAGCGGCATTGCTCGTTGCCAACAGTACCTGAAGACATTTTACGATATTCCAGGAGTTTGGAAGAACTTTTTTTGGATGCAAATCATATACGAGATTTACCGAAGGTGAGTGTTTAATTTTGTATTGTGGGCGTTTACCTTATCATTGAGTGTAAATAACATTATAGCCCTGCTTAAGTTTAGTGTACGTCACAGAAGTCAAAAATTCAAACATTATTATTATTTTCAGTAAAGTCTTAAGATGATACAAAGAATTTTCAATTACTTAATTTAATTAATAACAAAAATGTTCTTTATTTTTATTGCAATAATATTGAATACTATAAATTATTTGCTCTAAATTTAATTGTAGTCTAAAAAGATATATTGTCTCAATATTAAAATCATTACTGTAAAAATATTTAAAAAAATACATTTTACTTTCATTCATTCTTAAAAATTTTATACATGAAAAAGCATTCCTATATACAGTATTATTAACGAATTCATTTCAATACCATGTTATACTTGATTAAGTATTAATTTGTAAATAATTATAATCTATTTAAGTTTTTATATAGATTTAACTAAACTTTGCCTACCTTTTCTATTAAGAGCAAAAAACATTAATATCATGTGCATCTGTATCATACTATACAGTTATTTCTACTTCTATTTATATGATTTATCTATGTTTAATTTTAATATATTGATGATAAAAAAATGAAAATAAGTTTATACAAATTAGAATTAAAGTTAATAATATATTTTTTAATATTATCTGTGATGTTATAAGTGTAGTTTGAGACCAATTTTACAAAGAATGTTTGTATTATTATTTATGTTAATATTATTAGGGAAAATATCATATATTTTTAAATTTAATAAATACCAATCAAGATTAGAAACAACTATTATGAACTATCAATATCAACTTGAAAATATAATTTATTAATTAATATTAGTTATTAGATATAAAAAAATAATCAATGATTTTAAAGCTTACAACTATGTAATATAATGTGTATATATTTTCTTATCGGTCCCTCGACAAGTACTGAAGCTCTCCAGAAAGTTTCAAGACCCTAGGTCCCTAGAATATGGAGAAAAGTAATTATTTTATCAAAAAAATATATATCTAGATAGGGGTTCGTTGGTATTTCCATTCTAATCAAATCAAATCAGCAGAAAAATCAAAATAAAACAAACAAAACAAACTTTGGTACAATCAGCTACATAAATTTGCTAACTGATCTGCTAGTTTTGTTGGCCAGTTTCAGCGACGTGTATAACTAGCAACACACACTTTATTCAGAGTCACTAGATAAATTTAGGTTCAATTCACACTTAATTTCAAGCGATCATTGACTTATGTTGCAAAATTGGTCTCAACGAAAGGCACTTTTAGTTCAATAGAATAATAATAGAGCCTTTATCTACCATGACAGTTCATTCTAAATATTAGTGCAAGAATTTTTGAAGTTGGATGAATGAATCACCTTCTACATCCAAACTTACGAAATGTCCCTCTTCATAATATTAAGGTTACAGGTTTCAGTTATAACAATACAAGCGACTCTTTCTCACTTGGGTTCATCCCTAGATGATTTTAAAAAATAGTATAAGATTTTTTACAGATGAGATTTCCTACAGTAAAAAGTATCCTATATGTTGACCTGGGTAACCAGCTACCATCATACCAAATTTAATCAAAATCTGTCCAGTGGTTTACTCGTAATGCATTCCCAGACAGACAGCCAGGAAAAATTTCTAAAAACTATAGATTTGACCTCTGTGTTGATAGTAATAACTATTTCAATAAGATTTTACAAAAAATATTTAAGGTACAGATTCAACTCAGTTAGAATTTTATTATATGTATAGATGTAAGACTTTTAAATGATTTTTAAGAGTTAGAAAAATATTGTAATTAATTTGTAGTGTAACAAGGTATTATATTGAGTTCATTCGTTCTTTGTCTCTTAAAATTTTTATTTTAGTAATATATCAAAATTTATCTCTGAAGTTGGAATATTTACATATTCCCATACCGTTACCACTCAAAGACCATGTAAAGCTAGCAATTATTTCAATAAATCAGGTTGAGAAGGAAGACTGACAAAATTATCTTACCAATAACAAGACCCAGACCAAGTTTTGCTAATCATTTTGCCATTTGTTAATATAATAAATAGCATATCTATAAATAAATGTACATGTAATAATATTGATTTTACTGTTTTTGTTACAGAATTTCTTCAGACTTCATCGATTAAGACGATTAGGGCTTAGTGATAATGAAATCCATAAGCTACCACCAGATATACAGAATTTTGAAAATTTAGTTGAACTAGATGTATCACGAAATGGTAAGTCTATTTTAATTTATTAAATTAACTAGCGACTAACCTTCGCTTCACTCGGGTTCGTCCTTTACGTTTTACCGGTTAGTATGAAATACAAATTTTTGATTTTCTCGGCTTTTCTGTACTATAATACGCATATATTATACATATAAACCTTCCTTTGGTATCACTAACTATTAAAAAAACCGCAACAAAATCCGTTGCGTAGTTTTAAAGATATAAGCATACATAGGGACAGACAGACAGCGGGAAGCGACTTTATTTTATACTATGTAGTGATTGCGTTATAACGTTTAGCATAGATTTCTCAGAGATGAGATACTTTCCCGCAGTATAAAGTATCCTATATGTTGACCCGGAGAACCAGCTATCATCATACTTAATTTCATCAAAATTCCTCCGACAACAAAAATTCTATAAAATCTTATTGAAATAAACATTATTATTGAAGTCGAATCTATCGTTTTTAGAATTTTTGTCTGTTACCGCATCACAGAAAAACCACAGGTGGGATTATGATGAAATTTGGTATGGTGAAGCTGGTCATCCGGGTCAACATATAGGATAGTTTTTACCGCGGGAAAATATCTCATTTTTAAGAAAAAATACAAAATCTGCAATGTAAGAGTATTCTAATATGTAAAACCTAAGAATTTGGTTTTTGGTCACCTGAACGCGGACGGAGCCGCGGGAAATGCTAGTTTAGGTATAAATAGAAGTTACGTTTTTCTTTAAGTAAGCAAGTATTAAAAATGATTATTTGTTAAATCTTTCTTTTCGTACATTGAGTATAATGAAATACTCGTAATATGTATATGTGTAAATAAAAATTACACCGCGGCTAAATGAAGTAGATCCAAATAGAGAATTTAGGTATTTGTATGCATGTTGCGTGTACATTTGTCGTCTGCATTGTTAAACGTACTGTTCAGGTGCGAAGTAGATAATAGCGAAAAAAGTACATGCATTACTGTTTGTTATAAATGTCATATTATGAGTATTTGTCAGTAATTGTACTGAACCTAAATGTCATTAATTTTATTCTGTAGCCTTACTCCTAAACTTATTACTGCGCTATACTGGGCTATTGCTTCTGATTCTGCTACTCAAATTCTGTCTTGTTTTAGATTCGTGTTCACCACAATGTGATATTACCTCATTATTTGAAATGAACTGATTGTCAAAATTTATTTAGACCTTTTCTTCGTTCTATGCTTTTATGCACGACGTTAAGAAAATTATCATTTATATATTTTATAAAGTTAAATTGTTAAATTGTTTTTAAATAGAACATTTATCATCTAACTTTGCAACCGTTTCTAATTAAAACTAAATCATTTATAATTTGCAAATATTCTATAAACAAGCTAGTATTGTTAACTAAGCTAATATGTTATTATGTGTTTTTCAAGTTCAAGTTTTTCTACTATTTCGCTATTTTATACTTGTTATTACCTTATATGTAAGGCTCCGAATAAATAATTATTTATTCGTAGATGTAAGGTCATTTTTTTTATTGATATTGTTTTTGTTAGTTTTCATCCTTTGTTTATTTCTTAATTAATTTTCCATATAATATAGGATTTGTCAATAAAGTAATACTTAATTGTTAATTAACCTAAAAAGGTTTCATAAAAATAAATATATGTCAAACCACCGAAAATCTCATCAACAACTTTAAATGAATTTAAATTTTTACGGTTTTACTTCCGCGAACGTTTATTTGTAAAAGAGCGATTTGTTTTGTCAAGACGCTCGTTACGTTTGTTTTTATTCGTTGCACTCCATTCATTCGCGTCATGCGTTTTCGGGGTCGTTATAGTTAACAGCCGCTATGTTGGTACAATAATCACGATTGTAATGTAACGAGAATCGAGATGCATTACGATGTTCGTTCAAGGCGTTGGTATCCCTGAATTTTATTAGAACATTGTTAGCATGATCTCTATAATTACTGGTGGGTAATATAGATCATTATTGTCTGTTTCATAGACATACAAGGGATACCATTATTTCTTTCTAAATTTCAATGAAGAACTGTTTCAGTTACAAAGTTAAATTAATTAGATTTTGCAGTTAAATGTTTAGTGTAGATTAAATTAAATTCAATTCTTTTGTTTCGTGGTTTCCAAGAGTCGTATTTATGCACAAATGTAAATTAAAACACCTTTATTGACATTTGTCATTTTGATGGGCATTAAGCAGATTTATGTCCATCAAAACTGCTTAGGTCAAATTAATGTTTGTCGTTAATACTTATGCTTTAGTATTATCTATATGTAAATGTATTAAAGGAAACTTTTAAAAATAAATATAAACACATACTTAATTTAAAAAAATATTTGTCCAATTCTCTTACACCAGTGTTACTAATGTTTTATACCGTTGGCTTGACATTACCCAATGCGTCAACGTCATCTTACTTGACGGTAGACGTTATGCTACGGTATAGATACCGTTTTATTTAGAACTAAAATAGAATGATATACAAACTTATATTACGGTATAGTCTTATCTTGCGGAAGTATTTTTGTACAGTATTAAACGTACATATTTGTGCTAGTTTCGTGTGTCACAACCTTTGTGTCACAGACCACAGTAGGCTCCGGAAAAACGCCGATAGAGTCCTGAGGTCCTTTTTCCTAAAATTAAACAAGTCTATTTTATTTCAAGAGAGCCTACTTTAATATAAACAATATATATTTCAAAAATGATTTGTATCTTATCCTGTGGGATCCGTTTCTTTTCCGGACTAAAAAGTAATGTACATATTATTCATGCTCATGCTAATAAAATTCCGCTGAGTCGGTTAGGTTACTGTATACAATATCCGAACGGACAGGCGGTCAGAAAAAGGGTTTCATTTATATCTTTACGAATATTATAAAGAGGAAACATTTGATTTTTTGTTTGTTTGTCCTGAATAGGCTTCTAAAGGCTAAACTGCTGCACCGATTTAGATGATTTTTGCTAAGAAGATAGTTTGAGACCTTGGAAATAATATAGAATAGTTTTTATCCCGGAAATCATCCCTTAATGGATTGAAAATGGGGATGAAATTTTGTATGGAGAATCTATCTATTCTTCTCTCTTATTCTATTATCTTATTCTATTTATAAGAATTATCTAGCTATTGAGTAATAAATGCATGCATGTTTGTAAGTACATATATGTGCATATGCTTTTTTTTAAATTGCAAACAGATTTTACAATAATTTTTAATACTAACGACTTAACTTCGATTCAGTCGGATACGTGCTATTACACCAGATAAGGTTTTGTGTGCTTAATGTCATCCAAATCTATCCAGCTGTGTAAGCGTGAAAGAGTAACAAATATACACAAACATTACAAGCTTTCGCATTTCATTAGTAGTCCAATTTGCATTTAATTTATTCTTCTTTTTATAAAAGTTTACTGTAATGTCAATAAAACCCGTATTCATTTAGTTAATTTAGTCATTGGGTCTTTCATCAATAAAGAAAAATTATTTCAAATAAATGTCATTAGATGACGTTACATGTCTCGATTTGTAATTAAAGTTGTATTAAATTAACAAAAGATAAAAAATAGATCCCAAAAAAGTTGTATTATTGTTTTAAAAAATATTTTTAGTGAAGAGAAACGAAATAATGCGGCCTTAAATCTAATTTAACTGATTATTGAAATATCAGCAATCAGATGATGGGTTTGTAGTTTATATTTACAGATGGCGTTTTACTTTTTATGAATCATCACGGTTAAAAATTGTTAAAATCATTGTTTTTTTTTACTCGAATGCAGGATGAATTTTATAATATTTACCTTACGTTAGTTTGCACATATGTTTATAAAATAAAACAGTTTTACTACTACCTACTACTTTTACTATTATTTATTCAATCAAACAAAAATAGCCCGAATTAACGCTATCCAATTTCCTTTATATGGGATGAGGTATCTGTACTAGTATAGGATTATGGGATCTGTGCTTTGGTATTGAATGAATTTCAAATATTTAAGTATAACTAGTAGTCAGTTGTCCACCAAAATTTTATATTTGCAAGCGGTTCCCAAACTACAATATCGCAACATGAATCGTGACATACTTGTAAATTAACTCATTCATAAATAAAGAGGTGAGTACCGAATTCAAATTGACTTTCGCTGAAATCGGTGTCTCTGACTCTTCATCATTATTACGGACACGATTCTTACAACATCAATGACCAATCTGTTTTTCGCAACTTGGACGTAATTGGGCACTTTTATTTTTACAAAATACAAAAAGCGTCGGCCTATTTTAAAACAACATTAGTTAAATATGAAGAAGAACCGACTGATAGTTATGTATTACTAAAGAAAGTATCTAAAAATAATACCTAAGTGATAAGCAGTTTGTCGTTCGAAGTTTGTGGCGAAAAAATAAAGTAGGTGGTAAAGTGCGCATTACAAACGAATTTTTAAAGAGACTCTCTGAGAGACATTCATGTCTTCGCTCAAAATACACTATCATTTGCTTGTGGTTTTACATGCGCTTGTATATTTTATCTAGTTTACAGTTTAATTATTGAAATAAAGCCATTAAGCTTTACATTGCACGTACTATAAATATAAAATCCATGTTAAAAGATAAAAAAATATTTAATCTTCAAACTGATCTCCACCTTTCTATTTAATAATAAATATTATGTAACAGTTATTTAGATAAACTGTACTGAACTATTTCTTTATCAGTTTTAATATATATCTCAATTATTTCATAATAAACAAATGCATACTAAAAAGCGTTTTTTTCTATAAGTTACATTAATATTTAATATATTATGAAAAATAATTTTTTGTCCTAACTTTTGGACGATATTACAATGTTATTACTTAATAAAAATAATAATTCAGTCATTTTATCGTTTCACTTTTAGATACAGATCTCCTCAAATGTAGGTTGGAGGAAACCCTAAGGTTCTCCTTAACAAATAATCCTTAATAACATGTAAATTTCTTCACGATGTTTTTTTACCGTA